TTGGATTTGCCACCGCATCGTTTCCACTCGCCGCCTGACCAAATCTCAGCAACAACATCCTTCATTTGACCGGAGCAGCAATCTGCCCTGGTCCAAATCTTCACTTGTCGGATGCATTTCTTTGGAAATTCAACCACTGCATTCGGATTGTTGTCCTTGCAGGAGTGCCAGTATTGCTTGTCTCCACTTCCGGACTTTCTGGTGTCACCATCTGTCAGGTAACCCTTGTTGGTCGGGTTTCTCTTGTAGCACTCAGAGCTCACAGTTGCAGTAACTCCTTCTGCAATGTTCGCATCATCAATTGCCAGGGATTCTTTGCATTCTGGGACCGTGCAAAGCTTCTGCGACTCACCGCCTGTTGTAAGGCATTGGCCATCAACGACTTCGCACTGAACATAGGCACCATGGTCAAGTCGGGCAAATGTGTTGCGACAAAGGCTCAGATCTGTCACGCTGGAGCACATCTTTGCCTCATCGAGTTGGTCACCATAGCAGTCCAGGCCGAGGCCACGGGTCAAAGCTGATGCCACAAGAAGTCGCACCAGACTTGAGACCATGGCAGGTTGCTTCATTGGAACGAAAGCTAGGGGCCCTAGGGGTCTAGAAAGTCCGAAGACCTGCGGAAGGCATCCAAAATGAAAACTGTGCAAGCGTCCAGGCCTAGGGGCTCGCTGGTTCCGTGGGAAGTCTTTCGTTGCTTGGCAGAGGCACTTGTTTTGTCATCTCGCTCTCGAAGCCTCTTTTTGCCAAGCCATTGACAGGAGCATTGCACAACTGCCAGGCAGCCAACGAACCGCTGTGGTAAACAATCCGTGAGACATGAAATGCAGCTACGTCTGTACTCCAACTGATGGGAGCCTGCATCTCCCTCAAGTCTGGGCCGCGGCCACAAATTCCAACATCTTCAGCAAACTTTGTAGGCCGTTCTAACCAAAGCATTTCTTGCAACAGGCCTTAGGGGCATTTGGTGGTTCACACGTTTCATACAAACTTCTGATTGTTCAAATGTTTCGAGGATTGGCACCAGGTGATACCCAACCTGCAAGAAGCTGCATCAGCGGCACAACTCTGCACCGAAGCCGCTCAGCTCAGTCTTTGTGAAGATTCTGCTCAATTGCCATGTCACCGGTGACCTGTGCGAAGGCGGCAAACCTGAGAAAAAGCATGGCAGATTGCAGCGCAAACTTCTTCTTGCTATGGTTGCCTTCGGTCCAGGACGTCACTACCCCTACTAGAATCTTAGAAGCTAAGAAAGAAAAGCTTCTAAATGCCTATGTCGATATCGAAAAAGGCCCCAAAACAGTTCCACTTCTCGGCCGTCCGGAAGCCATTCTTAGCAAAAATAGCAGCCTTTAGACCTTTTTGTTCAAGTTTGTTGTTCCCCTTTGCTCCTTTTGTACTCTGTTTTATGGGCCTGCGACGTCCCTACACCTTGCCGTCTCAAATGCAAGCAAAGGAGCGCTGCTAGGACAGCAACTCCAGCAGAAATGGAACAGAAGGTGTTTACCGTTGGATTGCTCTTGTCTGCGCTCTGCCTCACGATGCAAAAATGTCCTTCAAATTCTCAAGTGACAGAGCGTTAGCGTCCTTTGCTCCTAGTAGTCCTTGCTCCTAGTAGTACGGCCAGGAGCCCCTAGTAGCGTCCTTTGCCCGAGCTGCAGCACTCCCTCGCACGTCTTCTTCTGGAAGAGCTGATTGATGTGCTCTGGCCCCTGTGACTCACCCCGGATGTCGTCGAAGATCTGCGCCGAGAAAATCTTCAAAACAGCAAATAAGGAACTCTCGAAGTCTTGACAGGCCACTGCTCTTAGGTTGGAGGCCATCGATATTAGGTCGCCAAGTGAGGACATGCCTTAGCAGCCCAACGGCCTAAAATGTGCCATCTTCTTGCCTTGGCTAGGTGGGGTCAGAAGGAAAATGACTGAACTTATTGGCATCGGAACTGGCATCGGCGTATTTTGAGATTATTGACATCACTGGTGTTTACTATAAAGCACGAACAAGTGCATCGCTTCTAGTAACAAGTGCCTTACTAGTAGTAACAAGAAGCTATTAGGAACAATAAGCTACTAGGAACAAGTGCCACGCTAGTAGTAACAGGTGCCTCACTAGTAGTAACAATGTTTGCTATTAGGAACAATAATTCTATCAATTTCAAGATACGAAGAACACGCAGTTCTGTCGCTCCTCAGCGACCCGTCTGACTTGCGCACAAAAACTGCCGCAACTCCTCAGTTCGAGGTGTCTCTGCACCGAAAGGCAAAGACTTAAAGAAAGCAACAAATAGAACAATCATATGAGCCTCATGTGGGTGGCATTCGTAAGTCTTACCCCCTTCAAATTGATGGACCTTGGTGACCTGGTCAAATAAAACACAGCCTTAAAACAAACTTTTGATGGCTTGGGCCTAGCTACGCTCCAGCATTGCTCTCAAACACTCCCGCACATGCAGGAGCAGCACTTAGCAAGGATTCCTCAAGAAGACGCTTAGAGTCATGAGAATTATATAGTTATTGACGTGTCCAAGCTGTATGTGTGGGCATGTGCTGCAACAAACACAAGTAGGGCATCGCGGCCAGTCCTTCTCGGGAGTGACATAGTAGGAGAGCTGCAACTGATAGTTCAGGCGGCAAAGCCTGCAGCACAGCCAGCTGAATGCAGGTCACGGTGATGATAAAGTGCTGCCAGGCAACGGAAGGTCAGCGAGCAACAAAGCTGCAAAGCCCACCCTCAGTCGCAGCTCTGCTACGCTACTCAGCTATGCTGTAACTCAAAATGTTTCGCTTTAAACCTAGGAAAAATCGCAGAGTTCAAAAGGATTTGAGGGAGTTCACAAGTGCGTTCACATGTTTTCACTTAGGCATTCATCCAAGTCACAGAATCCAAAGAAGTCGGGTAACTTTCAGATTCATGGGGACTTTGGGTGGCCGTGGTCGCCAGCGGAAGGTTGCCTGACAAGTCTGCGTTCATTTCTCATAATTCGCCACTGCGGACTCTGTGCCTCCAGACGCCATGCTGTCATCCAAAGAGTAAGCCCCAGAAGTGAGATCCAAAAATTCCTCTCCACGTAGAACAGCTTTGGCTTCCTGAGTCTGGGCATTCAAAACCTAAGAGCGATGGCCTCCAACCTAAGAGCGATGGCCTCCAACCT